TCTTTGCAAACAGAGAATAATTGATAAGATGCAAAGATTGGTGAAGATTAGGCTATGGGTGTTCTTACATACCAAGTTTGTGAATTTAAGTATAATTTCCTAGGCTACATAAAGTCAAGGAACATAGTATTTCATTGTATTTATGTTTGTGTGTGTATGAGAATGTTGCCTAATGTATTTGTGTACCCAAGTATATAAAGATGTGCATACTTGTGTATGTGCATGCATGTGTAGGTCAAAGGTCAATGATAAATATACCACTCTGTCACTTCTTTCTGTATTTTTTTTTTAAACATAGTCTTTTTGGTGAAGCTCACGATTGGCCAGATAGGCTTCTGCCCAGGGAGCTACAGAGGGTCTGCCTGTCTCTGAATCCCTAGGGCCAGCATTACAGATGCATGTTTCCATGCCTAGCTTTTATGTTGGGTCTAAAGATCTGAACCCAGGTCTTCAGGGTTATACAATAAGTGATTTACCCATTGAGTTGTCTCCTCAGCCTCTTTGCGAACATTTTACCTGAAGGAGCAACTCAGTCATTACTGGACCTTATGAAAATTTTCCTGGTACAAAATTACAGGCTTAATCAGAAAAGGAAAATTTTGAAATGAGGAGAATTAAATAAATGGTGTTTACAACTTCATGGCGATGATGACAAAAATGACGAGGGAAGAAATGAAAAAGATGACTTGGACAGAAGAAAAATGGTGTTTATCATTTTTCTAATTATCTTTTAATTAGAAGTATAAGAATATGCATAGTAAAATAAAACAGTTCATAATCAAGTTCCAATGTGCATAGTTGAGAAAAATAGATGGTGGTGTTTGGAGCAGGAGGTTACTGAGAGCTGGTAGAAAATGGGTAGAATTCATATATGTGGCATCATAGTGCATTTCTGAGAGAATGGCATGTGGGAACTCACTAAAGAAAAATAAACGCAGCACACATACAGCTTAAAGAAACTTATCAGAAGAAAGGACACACATATACAGAGTGATAGACAAGCAGGTGGCTGAGACGGGAGAGTCTAAGAGTAATTTCACAAGGGAGCGAAAGAGCTTTGGGCTGGACTTCTGAAAAAGAAAACCAAAGACTTCTATTTTAATTTTGTATTTTTGTTAACTTTGTGCATTAGAAATAAATTTGCATCAATTTCACTCTTCCCCATTTCCATTAAAACTCTTCCTGTGTCCCCATTCCCTCTTAAACTCATGACCTCGTCTCTATTGTCATTACACACACACATACTCAATACTTTCATTTATAAAGTAATATATGTTTTATAGTATATTATATATAATGCCTATGTGTCATACATATATATCACATATAATATATAGCACAAACATACATCTTATATGTAGGTATAGGTATATATGCATGCTACCCTCCCTCAACAGCCATTGATCTACTGTAGCTCTTTATCTAGGGATAGGGCCTTGCAAAATTTCCCCCATCCATACTGGCATATCAACTGGTTCTGTCATTATGTCACAAACCAAATTTAAATTGATGCTTATGCAAATAAGAAGTGAATAAGTCACAAAGGTAACATCTTATTGAAAAGTGAAAAGATTTTGTAACTAAGTATGAGAAGCATCAAGAATGATGGGATATTTGAACTGGCTAGATGTGGCCATTTAATACTTCAATTAGCTTCTGTTTTCTTCCAGTAAGGTATATGGGAAACTTTTGTATAATGTAGCAACCAAGGAAAAAGATAGACAATTTATTTGCTTGTATTACTCAAAACTTTCACTCATGAAGTGATTAATCAACATAACACTTATCTGTAAACTAAAAGAAAATTAGGGCCAGCTATATAGAACTTGGTAGAAAAAAAATGAAACCATTTTTACAAACCACCTTCAACATTGAGGACACCAGGAAACATTCTTATCAGCACTATTCTCTACCCATTGTTACCATGTGAATAATTCACATCTGGGACAAGATAAGTTGTTTAAGTATGCTACTTAGAGATCTTCATCATAATAGCTGTGTAGAAGCAGTTTAATATGCTTCCCAGAACATGAATATTTTCAGTGGAAATCTTCTTCCATTGAAAAAGGGCACCCACTGCAAAAGCAGTTCTCTGACATTTCAAGACAGAATATTTCACAGCACCAATAACCTGGAAAAAAAATCCCCCAAATGCATTTGATGTCATTATTCCATCCGTCAACTTTCTCAGCTAACTAAGGAAAAAGTAGTTTCTACATTGGTTTTGAGTTCCTATAGCCAAGCACAAACCACTTTCCCGTTATCAATAAACATTTTCATTGGGATATGTGTGTGGCATTTATCTGTAAGGTCATAAGTCTATTTAATTTTAAATTAGCAGTATTATTTCCAAGTAGAAGCCTATTCCACAGCATTTGAAAAGATGGTGTAAGAACTGATTGCCTTTTTCCAAAAGAGAAATTCTTCAAGAGAACTGATCATGTAGCTTTGGGAAGCAGGGTAGAAAGTGCTCAGAGAGGGAAATAGACTTCCAATATGGTATGGGGAGAGACATTTTAAAACAGTTTTCTCATCTAAAAATTAAAAATTCAGATGGGTGAAATATTTGATCAATTACTAAAATAGTAGTAAGCTCTAAACATGAAATAAAATAATAAAGCTTCTAGATGTACTGAGTTAAGTTCCCTGTAACCACATGGTGGCTTACAAACCGTCTATAATAGGGTACAATATTCTCTTCTGGTGTGTAAGCATCCATATAGACAAAGCACTCATAGATGTAAAGAAGTAAGCATGAAGGAGGAGATAGAACAAAAAAAAAAAAAAACCCAAGAACAAGAATAGCAACAAGAAGAACAAGCCGGGCAGAGGTGGTGCACACCTTTAATCCCAGCAATCAGGAGGCAGAGGCAGGCGGATCTCTGTGAATTTGAGGCCAATCTGGTGTACAAGAGCTGGTTCCAGGACAGGCTCCAAAGCAACAGAAAAACCCTGTCTCAAAAATCTAAAAAGAAGAAGAAGGAGGATGAAGAGGAGGAGAGGGAGGGGGAGGGGAGGGGCAAGAGGAGGAGGAGGGGGAAGGAATGGTAAGCCTTGGGTTGTAACTGTTATTTATTATGTGAATGAAAATTTTTTTCAAGGACTCAAATTTTGAGCAGAAACATGAAGTGCATAGGCAATTAACTGTGCAATGTTGATAGAACTGCATTTGTGAACAGATAGGCACTGTGAGTGCAAAGATTTTGAGGTAGTGAAGAGCTAAACTGGATCCCCTCACCTTCAGGCCCAGAACAAACAGTAAAGTCCAACAAACAGAATTGAGTATGACCCTTCAAGATAAAATAGAGGTTTTTTTTTTATTTTTTATTTTTTTTTTTTTTGGTTTCTTTGCATGGTTAGGAAGCTTCTAGAAGGTAAATCAGAGAAATGAAATGAGTATTTGTTTTTCAGAAATCCATTTTGGCTATTGTATGAGGGATAAGGAATGATTTGAAGATGGTAGGGACTGAGTGTTTTTCTTCCAATCAAAGTAAGACCTGGTAGTGGTTATGGGTGGTGGTGGGGAGTACTCGATTTTAAAAGATAATATAGTGTTTTCCGTGGCTTCTATTTTCTGAGTGAGTTCAAGTTCAACTGACTCTATTGACCTTTGATAAGTTATCATGTAAAAGAACTATAAAGATCAAATACCTATATAAACTTGAAAAAAAGATGGTAGGGAACACAGAAATGATGTAAAGTTAAGATATAAATTTTAGGGGGAAGAAAAAGGTATGGGTGGAACCACAGTCAATGGAAATTGAACCATCGCCAGTTAAAAGGGGAACACTAAGATCGTAAGGTGGGGGAGACTTAAAGCTATGGTCCCAAGTCTCAGGAAGTCAAGATCTTATGTAATATTTTTATTCTGCTATAGTTTGCTATTCAAATAGACATCTGGTTTACCTGGAGATAGAATGTCACTGAGTTATGTTGCATCCGGATGGGAAAGTATACCATAGGACTCTGTAACCTAATCCCGGCAGAACACTGCGTGGGTAGTTAAACATGAATGTTAGTGGATGTGGCCCCTAACTCGCCCAAACCCCATTGGAGCAGCGATGAGAAAAGCCAGCTGAATAGCAGGCTGGGGATTCAAAGTCATGTGGTTGATGAGGAGCATTTGAAAGTGCTGGAAATGACCTAGAATGACCCAAGTGAGTGATCATAAGCGTGGTGTGTTACTTTGTGTTCATTGAGTGTTTCTTCTGTATTGCTTGATTCTAGTGGTTGCCAAAAGAATCACAAAGTTGAGAGAAACCATGGACACTGACAATCAGGTAAAGGGCTCCACTTAAGACCTCAGTGTTTATAGAGTCTTACTTCCATCTTATAGCTGTGTGTTCCCACACTGTGCTAGGGAATAAGAGTGAGGTTGGAAAAGGGAGGTGGGGTACAGCGGGAGGGAACGGCAAGGGAAGACGGAGGGGAAACTGCTGTTGCACAGTAAAATAAATGAATAAATTTATTATTATTATTTTTAAAGAGTGAAGTTAGAACCTTTGGGACTTATGACGATGCCACTTCGCCCTATCTCTTCAAATGCAGGAAACACTCACTTAGGTCCCCAGCTGAACCAAACTTTTCTCCGTGCTTCCTGGGAGTTACCTCCCTAGAGATCTGCAGGCAGGCTGACACTCTTGGGTAGCAGCCAGTTCCCAGTAAATTCCCTCCTTGGCCTACTTATCAGAATGAAGTTCGAGTTTTAATTCTGCACAGGTTGAGGGAGCTTTTCTTGCTATGGGTAGGGGTGCTGCGCAGGTTTCTGCTCTCCAGGAAGCCAAGACAAATACCAGATAGGAGACCATCTGAGGCCAGGTGCCTGGCTCCTCAGCCTTGCTTCTGCAGAAACCTGGAGTGCTTCACCAGTTTCCCCCCCCCCCCCCCACTCTTGACGTCAAGCTCCGACAGCCAGCGGAGGAGCCTTTCGCCTGGGCGGCGAGGAGCACGGGGAGAGCGGCAGGGAGGGGAAGCCGTAGCAGCAACAGCTTGGAGGAGGGAACAGACATCTATCCCTTGCCAGCACGACCCCGACCGGGGCAAACGCAGAGCTGAAGAAGAAGACCTGCGGGTTCAGGGAACCGCGGGGTTACTGCAAAGAGGGGCGGGGAGAAGGCGGGTACGCTGCATGCAGCGCGCTGGCTCCAGCGGTGCCCGCGGGGAATGTGACATCAGCGGCGCCCGGCGCTTGCGGCTGGAGCAGGCAGCTTGCCTTGCCCGCGCGGTGCACACCTCGCCCGGGGGAGGACGCGGAGCCCGGCAGGCGGCGGGGATGTCGGCGAAGGAGAGGCCAAAGGGCAAAGTGATCAAGGACAGTGTCACCCTCCTGCCCTGTTTTTATTTCGTTGAGGTGAGTTGGCCCAGGGCCCTGGCGTAATGCAGATCTTTCCGGATAGCTCCGGAACGAATTTGGGTCCTGGGTAAGATTGGTGACCACACCGGAGCACCAGGGTGTGCGTCACTGCTATCCCCGCTGGACCCTTTCCCTTTCCCCCTACAGATTTTTCTCCAGAGCTTCCCTGAGTCGGCCTGGGGACACCTGCCAGCACCAGCTGCTTAACACTAGGGGTGCCTTGCTGGGTGGCCTTAAAGGAAGGGATACCTGTCAGAGTATAGGTCTAGTTTCGGCCCTGTAGTGCTTGTGTGTCCAGGGTCCATAAGTGCCCCGGAGGATGCCTATATTTGGAATTTGTGATTTTCAATTTGCTGACGGTATTTAGAACTCTGAGCTTTTGGTGGGAATTCAAATGCATACAGCTTTGCCTGAGCTATAGGGTAGGAGATGTTTGTGTGGTTTTAGGATTATGTGGCGTCTATTAACCCTCCCAAACCCTTCTCCTACTACAGTTGCTATGGTACTTCATCTGCTTCCAAAATTGGGTCATTTCTAGATGTCAATCATCAGTCTGTTGGCCTTTTGCCATGCTATGTGTGGGTGTGTGCACGGACATATATTCATAGTTATTTATACAGCATGGTGTAGATACATAGAAAAACAAGTGAATATATATTTTAAATGTATGACATCATCTGAGTTCACATGATTTGTATCCATGCTCTTATTCTGACCTGAACAGTATTACAGTTAAGCAATTAACATGGGGTTGCACTCATAATGAACCTCTCTGGCTTACCTAATGCAGCATTTGAGGGAGGAACAGTTTATGGGAGGGGTGTAAAGATTGACAGGTACAGGATTCCGTGTACTGTGATCCATTGCATTCGGAGGACATTTTAAAGCAAGGGGTTTCTTAAATTATACATGGAGACAGGGTGCATTGCATACATTTAGGAAAATCTAATAGTTTTAAAGGTAAAACTGTGTCCATGTAATTACATCTTATGTTGAATAGAAAATTTTGAAACTATTACTGCATTAAAAATAGCCTTCCTTCGTTGTCTTTTCAGCCAAACATGGAGGTTCTCACTTCCAAGTACAGATAGGTAGCAGATTCTGTATTTGATGACTGAGAGGTTTGTCTGGATTGGGCAAGAGCCATTGCCTTGAAACTTGGAGAAGAAATATTGTGTCAAGCCTGTCCTTGGAGATTACTATATATTTGGTAGTTTCTTTTATGTGCCATATATTTTGAAATAATTCAAGTGTTAATGAGGTGTATGTGACCTGCATACACTTCAGAGAAATGACCTGTGACACCTTCCTCTAGGACCTATAGAAAAGAAGTAGAGAGAAAGGAGGGAATGAAAGGGAGAAAGAGAAAGAGAGAGAGAGAGAGAGAGAGAGAGAGAGAGAGAGAGAGAGAGAGAGAGAGAGAGAGTCCTGTTTGCTTAAAATCATTGTTTTCTTTATTGTTCCTTTTACAAAGAATCTTGAAGCTATTGCTTGGGTGGTTGAAAACTGTGGGCCCAGAAGATTCCATGAACAGAATAAAGGATTAGAAAAACAGGCTGCCTGCATTCCAGTGGCTAGACCACTTGTGGCATTGCTAATACATTTAATGGGGTGTCTTGCTTTTAATCACATCTAATTAATTTAATCACTTTTAATCACATCTAAAACTATTAAATTTATTGGAAATATATTAATGAATTGTTGGGTCTGTCTCTAGGAGATGCTCACTTGAGATCAACCGGAAGCTGACTACACTGGAGCACAGCTGTATGGCTTCCAGGAACACTTTCTGAATGAGGGCACAAACCAAAACTTAATTGTTCCCTTAAATAATAGAAATACAGACTTTTGAGAAAATGTTTACAGAATACATACCCTTTAACCTAAGATTTTAATGGCAAACGTGTTTATAATTTATGGGAATGGTGTCTCTGGGAACAAATATCTTATAAATGTCATATATTGTCCAGGAGTAGAAATCACTACTTTTACTCTGACCTACTCCAACGCAAGTCACAAAAAGATCACCTGAAACCATTTATCCAGTTTATTATAAGGTTCGTTTTTGTAGTCATTTTCTTGTTTTGCTTTCTGGGTTGTGTGTGTGTGTGTGTGTGTGTGTGTGTGTGTGTGTGTGTGTGTGTTTTGAAGTGGGATTCCATGGAGTCCACGGTGGTCTCAAACTAACTAGTATCAAGACAGGCCTTGAATTCCTGACCCTCCTGCCTCTCTCCCTTCCACATACTAGGGTGACAGGCATGCACCACTGTGCCTGCTTCATGAGGTTTAAATGAGCACCTACAGCACTGTATTTGGCAAGGGGTAATAGACTTCTAATAGAGAGCTTACACATTTGGATTGCAAATTATCTCCCTTAACCTTAAATGCATGATGAACCCCTAAAGAGACGGCAGAAGACTGGGGAGATCATCAGTCTTCCAGCTATTTAGGAGTTGGCAGGAAGCACTACCCAGCTCCTTAGAAATGACTCATTTTGAAGCTAGTGGGATGAATCTTTGCAGGATGAGTCTCTTTTGCAAGATGAATAAACAGAGCTTGAATTAACATGTCAATATAAAGCACCAGAAAGATAGCGCTTGGCCTTGGAACATACTTTTCCAGGATTCCAGGGATTAAGATAGATTGGCAAAACACAAGCAAATCTTCCATCACAAATCAGACCCAGAGCCTAGATATCATAATCGAGGTAACAAAAAGTGTGTGAGAGGACCAGTATTTAGGGGGAAAGTGTGGGAGTCTTGTGATGGTGGGGGACAAAGCTGTCTTTCTTCAAGATATTTGACCGCTTTGGATTGCTATTTATAATACATAGAGGACACAAAGGAACTTAGTTGGGAAATTTTTGAAGTGGACCAGAGAGTGTTATAATCAACTTGGCTGCAATTCTGGCATAAAAATAGCAACATTTGGTTGACTGAGAACAAAGTAGACCTTAAAGATGAGTTGACCTGGTTCAACTATCACCAGTGCCTTATGGTGCATAATTTTGATTATGTTTGCTCTCTCATTCCACACTTCTTTTGATATGATGAAAAATATGTAGGCTCAGTATGTTTATTTGTTTTCTTTCTTTTTTTTTTTTGTGGCAGGGTTTCTCTGTAGGTTTGGAACCTGTCCTGGAACTAGCTCTTGTAGACCAGGCTGGCCTTGAAATCACAGAAATCCACCTGTCTCTGCCTCCGCAGTGCTGTGATTAAAGGCGTGTGCCACCACCACCCGGCATAGGCTCAATAGGAGCACACATATATTCACCTATAATAGAAAATAAGATGCCTATTGTTTGGCTACAGAACGTACTCTGTGGTTAAAGCATCAGGCCTGTGTGAAAATGGATACACTGTGCTGTTTCGTTTCCTCTTTTACAATTGCCCTTGACTTGAAGTAGATTCTTTCACTGCTAGACTGGACAAGGTCTACTTCATTAGTTCACACCGATCCCCAGAAAGCCATCTCCTTTGAGTTTCATAGGTTTCTTTGAATCAATCTTGGTAATATTGGCCACGGGTAGGGACAGTGGAGTGTTCCTAATTTTGTATAGGAAATCTGACCATTATTTATGAAGCCTTTAGAAGGGTATGCACTTGCTCAGTCTTCAGTGATTCTGTTTTTAAAAAGAAGCCAATGAACCAGCCAGATGGCTCAAGCCCAGTGACCTGAGTTAAATCCTTGGCACCCACATGGTGGAAAGGTTAGAAGGAGAGGACAGACTCACACCCACATGTTGCCCTTTAATCTTTATATCATAATATGTACCATGCATACATACACACAAAATGAAGAAATTAATTTTTAAATGAAAGAGGCCATTGTTAACTAGATTTTTTAAAGCAATAGATAGAAATTAAATAATGCAGCCAAGTTTACAAAGCAAAGGTTGAGGTAGAGTGGGTACCAATTCAGACTTCATGTTCACCATCACAGAGACTGGTGCATTCTACTTACAGAGAGAATGTATATGCAAACAAAGTTACTCCATTTGCTTCCTCCCTACTAAAACAAGAAGACAGCACCTGGGAGGCTGGGGTGGGATGATCACTTGAGTCCAGGAGTCTGAAGCCAGCCTGAGCAACACTTTTAAGACCCTGATTCAGAAGGAAAACAGCAGATAAAGAAGCACCAACAAAACAGGAAGATTTAATAAGAGACAGTGAGAGATCTTTCTTGAGGAAGACATGCTTCCTCAGCTCAGTTCTCAGCTGGAAGACACTCAGGAAAAGACTGAGCAGTGGGCACTCCTCAGCTGTCTCGCTAGCCAGCAACTAGTATCCCCAGGAGAGACAAGGAGGAGAGATGCCCCAACCCACTTACTCTGGTAAAGAACCTCTATAATCTTGTGAACACAAGCCCCAGCGTTCAGCTTCTAAGTAATGGTGTCCTTGTTTACTGCCACACTCAACAGTGAGTTAGTGGACAGAATGTTTCCTCCTTTATCTTTGGTTTAGCTGAGAACTAGGTCCATGGTTGGTAGCAGCATTCTATGACAGCTTGCAAAACAAGATGGCTCCTAGAATATCACCCTACTTTATGGATAAGTTGGATAATTCAGTTTCTCAGTGTTCTCAGCATGAGAAAAGAAAGGTCAATTATGGGAGGACCCTCACACAAGTATATATCCAAGGCAGGCTTACATTAACCAAAAGCAGATCAAAATGCTCTTGAATTTTAATTGGCAAAGTCCTCTCCAAGTGATAGCTCTCTTGTCTATGTTGTTGATCGCAACTCAGAGCATAGGTAGTATTTATTAGCCAAAGGCTTTTGGGGCTGAATCACACAGCATTACATTCAGGTAGGGTTGTAGTCTGGGTGCATCCCCTTTATGCTAAGCACTATAACAATCCCTCTGTGCCCAGACTCATAATTTTTTCTCATTATTCACACTACTTAAAGATCATTCAATAAGTATTATAAACACATGGTAAGTCGTTTGTAAAGTTCCCAAAATGGAAATTCTGAAAGCAAAATAAGTGGGTCACAGA